CAACCAACCAACCAACCAACCAACCAACCAACCAACCAACCAATCTAACTAACCAACCAATCCAACCAACCAACCAACCAACCAACCAACCAACCAACCAACCAACCAACCAACCAATTATTCATAATTATATATATATATATTATAATTATAATACTGTTATGCTATAAACACTATAAATGCAGTTCAGAATAATGAGTTCAGTTTGGTGGCCCAACACATCCATGTAAATAAGATTACAGACAGCATGAGCCACCAATTTAAGGCTTGGGCAGACACTCATTTGTTTGGAACCATGGTGTGATTCATCAATGAAAGCAGACTTCAGCTCAATCTCATTATTTCTTCACCGTGCACTTCTCTGAGAACACAAAACAATGATAACACTTCAGTTTAACTGGCTTATTTATCTTAATATCATTAAAATATTAATTATTTATTAGTACTTATATGATCTAATTCTACATCCATAATCATATCCAATAACTAATCCCAACTACTACATTACAAACTATTAATAAGCAGCTAATTAGTAGTTTGAGCAAATAGTTTTACTTAATGGTTTGTTAATTGTATATTACAATGAAGTTTGGCCAAAATAACATCTTAAGTTCCAGTGCTTATAAGACAATTCACAGAAACCCTACCTTAAGCAATGCACAGTGACAAAAAAATCTTGAGAAATGGGGAAGCAAAGCAACGACCCCCTCCAACTTGTCTGAATGTTTCCATGACAACAGACTATAACAGGCCTGAGCATTGCAGGTAGTGCGTGGGAGTGCCCTTCCAGCTTCAGAAGACTGTGTACCTGTCATATCATTATTGCATAAACTGAAAGGTCCTGATCATTGGAAGCGAACGCATATTTATTGCTTTTTTTTTTACATACTTTTCCATCCCAAAGTCCCAATTCTATCCATTTCCAGTCATCTGCTTGGCCTTTATCTATTTTTAGATGAGTGGTCTGAGAAAAAGCATCAATTAATCAGTCACTACGAGTTATGTTTTGGTGAGGGGGGATTCCAGACTAAGGGATTCCACTTAAAAGAACAATTACTCTGAAATGTATTGAAGTTAAGTTCTGTATATGGGTATTGCAGCTGCCCACATACAGTTACTCATTTGGGTCACACTTTATTTTGATGGTCCGTTTAAGTTACATTGCATCTACATGCCCACTAATTCTCATTAGATTATAAGCAGACTGTTAGGTTGGGGTTAGGGTTAGTGTAAGTTGACACGTACTTGCAGTTTCTTATAGTTAGAAGTTTCTTATATTCAGTGAAATGTCTGTTGAAGGAGCATATCAACAGATATTAAGCAGACCGTCTACTAATACTCAAATAGAACACCAAAATAAAGTGTTGCCAGCTTTCTTGCTTTAAAGCCGACCAGTCTGTATGAAGAGTGCTTACTATTATGCTTAATCGTGTCTCAGAGACTGTGAGAAAAGGTGCAGGATTGCAGCCTCCGGGGGGTGTAAACTCTAATTGCATGTCTCAGCTCACTTGGGATCTCTCCCTCTACAGTCAGATGCTTCCTAAATCATTGTGCACCATTCTGACATGCTCACAACAGCTAATGCTACCAGGGAATGATGACTTTAACTTACATTTACGTTTACATTTAGGCATTTAGCAGAGGCTCTGTCTAAAGTGACTTACAAATGAGGTGATTCAACATGAAGCAAGATGCACAAGAAGCGCTACTTATACAAAGCAACTGATACTGCTCAGAGAAGTAAGATCTAGTGCAGGGGTCACCAAACTTGTTCCTGGAGGGCCGGTGTCCTGCAGATTTTAACTCCAACCCTAATCAAACACACCTAAACAAGCGAATCAAGGTCTTATTAGGTATACTTGAAACATCCAGGCAGGTGTGTTGAGGCAAGTTGGAGCTAAACCCTGGAGGGACACCGGCCCTCCAGGACCGAGATTGGTGACCCCTGATCTAGTGTAAGGAGGGGAAGGAAACTTTATTATTATTCATTCATTTTCTTTCTGGCATAGTCCTTTTATTAATCAGGGGTCGCCACAGTGGAATGAACCAACATATCCAGCATATGTTTTATGTAGTGGATGCCCTTCCAGCCGCAACCCAATGCTGGAAAACATACATACAAACTCATTCACATTTATAGACAGCCAATTTAGCTTATTCAATTCACCAATACTGCATGTCTTTGGACTGGAGGAGACACCGGAGCACCCAGAGGAACCCACGCATATGGGGAGAACATGCATACTAGACACAGAAATGCCAACTGACCCAGCCAGGGCTCGAACCAGCAACCTTCTTGCTGTGAGGCGATCATGCTGCCCACTGCGTCACTGTAATGCTAATTTATTTTTGTTATTATTATTGTTATTATTATTATTTGTGATGTCGTGAACCTGGAGTGGGTGCACTATGAGGCGTGAGAGGCCTGACACAAAAAAAATCATCCCCCCCGAAAAACAATCCAATATTTATTTACAAGGATGTGCGAAATAATGTCCAGTGCAAAAAAAAAAAACAAAAAAAAAACACACACACACACAAACATATGCATATATATATATATATATATATATATATATATATATATAAAT